TATATATATATATATATATATATATATATATATATATATATATATATATATATATATATATTATTATGGGGTCCACCCTTTTTCATACAAGTGTACTTGGACTGCTGCCGTTAAATACCCAGGGTGAGAGTAGTCGGACGAGACGGAGGATTGAGTTGGAGGTAGAATAATAGTGTGAGTACGTAGACTCTAAAGAAGTCCTACTTCGAGACTGAATTTACCAGACTGTATATATATACTATTATTGCTACAAACCGCGTTTCTGGATCTACTAACCATATTACCAATTGTATTATTGTGTAAATACATTTATTTGCTATATTTCATTCCTGCGTTTGTCATTGAAGACCGGATTTCATCTCGGAATCCACAACATATATATATATATATATATATATATTATTCCAGCATCATTTTCTAATTTATTCAAGCTGATCTTCGCCCTCTCTTACTTTCTAACATTCTGTCCTGGTGTAACAAATTGCTGTTGCATAGCCCCCTCGATCTGGAGAGCTCTATTTATCTTTCTTACACTAGTTCAGACAATCAAAATCGACTTCCTTTGTTTTGGCCTGTATATGACCTCAAAGGTTAAACGGAGAAGGTCAGAGCAGAAATACACTTCTCTAAAAATAAATCTGCTAAACTATTATGTAACAGTACCTCACACCTAACGTACGATTTCCTTTTCCAATTTTGTTCACTGTTGTTTAGACTATCATAGGTGAAACTTCTCCCTCCTGTACCAAACGTCTTATGGATTGAGTTATATCTTTTCTAATGGATCTCTTTAGCTCTAATTTGAAATGATGATCCCTTTTCTTGTTGTGACCTCCTGATCCAGTTTTCTTATTTACTGCTCTCTCTTTATAAAACATATTCACAGTTCTCTTCATTGCTCTTGAATTAACTTTGAAGATGGAAGTCAGAGTATGAATGTTGGTACCATTACTGAAGGCCTGAATGATTTTTTGAGAAGACAGTGGGGCTGACACAAAACGATTTTAACGTGTTCTCTCTTTAGCTGAATAACTTAAAGGGTTTTTCAGTGATTCTTACGACAAACGTCTTATCCGAAAAACCGGAGAAAAGAATTTCAATTACTTTAGTGGTTTTTTTTTAGATATTAAACATTTTGTGGGATGGACAATTATATTTTTACATGATTTGGACAATTTTGCTGTTACACTCGATAAATCATTGAATGTGACATACAATCTATCATTTTTTTACAAGAAAAATTTTATATGTTTTTATTCAGTCTTTATTATATTCTTAAATTTGTCCTTTTTGGGGAGTTAAGCGCGTTTAGAAACTCTCTGTAATGATTAGCTTCCGGCCAATTCATTAGCCATTTTCAAAGGGATCGTTATTAATCTGTTTCCTATGTTTGTGTCCGAACTTGTATTTTGAGAAGGTACTAGGGATTCCAATCTGTGCTATAAGAAATGTGTTTGTGATTCCATGTTCGGATGCCTTTTAAACGATACTTAACACGTTCCTTTCATTGTCAAATTGGTTTGAGGTTTGGCTTAAATTGTTTTATATAAAGACTCAATTATCTTAAGACGTCTTTTATGATTAGATTCATGAAGAATGATGGTTTTATCTGCAAACATTTCGAACATCTACGATGATTGTTCAGTTTGTGTATGCATCATGATAGCTAAATAAATTTCTCTCTGAATTTGCCGCTTCTTTTCTGGGCACCCTGTAGTAATGCAAATGCTAAAAAACAGATGAAGTGTCTTTCTTCATCTTCTATGCAACCTTAAAACATATATATGTAAAACACACACATCATAATCATCATCATCATCTTGCGGCCTCAGCCGAGATTGAACTCACCAATACTTTGATTGGTGTAATTCATAATCTTGTCAATAGCTGAATTCTTGATGCTTCGCTAGGGCTATCAAGGGTGTTTTTATCGTGACACCATCACTAAATGGATTGCCAACCAAGGCTCAGAGAGACTCCATTCACCCTCATCTAAGAGCAGGTTTGAATTCAGAGTTTTCCTTCTCCTAGACCAGTTGCCATCCAAGGCTATAGAACCCAGTCTGTCCTGCTATTTACCCATAGCTGGAGGGAGAAGAAAGATGATTCACACCTTTCCCAAGCACGTAAGTGAATGTAATGGATTCGAACTAGGATCTCCGATTCCTCAATCCAAACCGCTATCCATTACTCCACCGTGCCACACACACACACACACACACACACACACACACACACACACACACACACACACACACACACACACACACAGACACACACACACGCGCGCGCGCGCGCCAGTACACAGAGATAAATAAAATGATATGATTTTAATTTACAATTTAACATGCTTTTGGTATTATTTCCGCGTGTGTTTTTATTCTTGTGAACAGCATGTGAGTGGTACCACAAGTTGTTGATTGATTGATTTTAAAGGGAATGTTCTGTTTTAGATTATTTAGCATTTTGTATCATATGAAGTTTTAGGGACATTATTATTAATAAAAAATATAAAATAATAATAATAATAATAATAATAATTAATATTATAAATCAAATCAAATCAAATAAATCAAACTTTATTTAAAATAAATAAATGAACCCAAAATAATAAACGTTCTCCCATCATGCAACAGAAACGTTTCCTGTCTTTATCAAATTAGCAAAAAAAAAAAAAAAAAAAAATATAAATAAGATTGATAAAACTAGGTACATATTAATATCTACCAAATCGATAATGACCACAATTGAAAACTTAATATAAAATTTGTTACAAATTATTTAAAAAAACTATAACAGATTTAATTAACACAAAACAAAATAACTCGAAAGCCAACGCAACAGATGTCGGCAAAACGTATCGTTTGTAAGCCTTTATATACTTTATATATATAATATATATATATATATATATATATATATATATATATATATATATATATATATATATATATATATATATATATATATTTATATGATATATTTAATATTTTTCAATATCCTCCGGAGAGAAACACATTCAGTGTAAATAATATGTTTTTCGGATTTCATGCTCTCTCTCTCTCTCTCTCCCCTCTCTGTATATGTATATATATATATATATATATATATATATATTGTGTGGACGTTACGTTTTTCGGAACTTATTCAAATCGTGATAAGCATACGCGCAACTAGATTTGATATGACCGATCGTCAGACCATATATATATATATATATATATATATATATATATATATATATATATATATATATATATATAAGTGTGTGTCTTCCTCAAAGTTACAGACCGGTCAACTTTAATCGATTGAAGCTTATGGGATTAATTAAATGAGGCATAACAAATCTCTCTCTGACATTAGAGTAATCCTGTATACGCTAACAAATATATCATTCATAACACACACACACACGCACACACACACACACGCACACACACATACACACACACTCATATATATATATATATATAGATAGAAAGAGATAGATATCTAGAAAAAAGCGATAGGGAGAAAGAAAGAGAGGATAAAGATTTACATATGCATAAATATTCTTGATAAACAGTTGTGCAATTATTTCGAAAAGAATAAAAATGGCAAAACGAGGAAGTAAAGGAAAGAAAAGCAGGAAGAGTAGCAGAAGTTGAAGAAGAAGAAGAAGAATAATAATAAGAAGAAGAATAAGAAGAAGAAGAAGAAGAAGAAGAAGAAGAAGAATAGAATTATGTGGAAAGAAGGAAAATGGAAAGAGAAAAAAAAGAATTTTTAAGAAGAAAAAGAAAAAAATGAAGGAAAGAAGAAATTGTAAATTAAAGAGAAGAATGATATAGAAGAATTTGTAATATGCGAAGTAGAAAAATAAAAAAAAAATTGTAAAGTGACGAAAACGAAGAAGAATTAATGCCAAAAAGAATAATTGAAGGAAGAAGTTGTAATGTAAAAAATAAAAAATAAAATAATAAGATGAAGAAATTGTGACGTGGAATGAAGTATAAAGAAGGAAACAGAAGAATTTGTAATATGAAAAGAAGAAAAATCATAAGGAGAGAGATTGAAAAAATATAATATGAATTAAAGAAAAAAAATAAAAGCAGTGAATAGTGATCAATCTTTTCAGAGATGATGAAATGAATGAATAATGATGATGATTGGAAGCAAAAAGAAGAAAAAAAGAAATGAAAACGATTAATGTCAAAGATGGGGGAGAAGAAGAAGAAGAAGAAGAAGAAGAAGGGAAGGAGGGGAATTAGAATAATAATAAGAAGAAGAGAAAGAAGGGGAGGAGGAGAATGAGAAGAAGAAGAAGAAGGGAAGGAGGAGAATGAGAATAATAATAAGAAGAAGAGGAAGAAGGGGAGGAGGAGAATGAGAAGAAGAAGAAGAAGAAGAAGAAGAAGAAGGGAAGGAGGGAAATGAGTAATAATAAGAAGAAGAGAATGAAGGGGAGGAGGAGAATGAGAAGAAGAAGAAGAAGGGAAGGAGGGGAATGAGATTAATAATAAGAAGAAGAGGAAGAAGGGGAGGAGGAGAATGAGAAGAAGAAGAAGAAGAAGAAGAAGAAGGAAAGGAGAAGAAGGGAAGGAGGGGAATTTGAATAATAAGAAGAAGAGGAAGAAGGGGAGGAGGAGAATGAGAAGAAGAAGAAGAAGAAGAAGAAGAAGAAGGGAAGGAGGAGAATGAGAATAATAATAAGACGAAGAGGAAGAAGGGGAGGAGGAGAATGAGAAGAAGAAGAAGAGGAAGAAAAGGAGAAGAAGGGAAGGAGGGGAATGAGAATAAGAAGAATAAGAATAAGAAGAAGAAGAAGAAGAAGAAGAAGAAGAAGAAGAAGAAGAAGGAAGGAAGGAGGGGAATGAGAATAAGAAGAAGAAGAGGAAGAAGGGGAAGAGGAGAATGAGAAGAAGAAGAAGAAGAAGAAGAAGGGAAGGAGGGAAATGAGAATAATAATAAAAAGAAGAGAAAGAAGGGGAGGAGGAGAATGAGAAGAAGAAGAAGAAGAAGGGAAGGAGGGGAATGAGATTAATAATAAGAAGAAGAGGAAGAAGGGAAGGAGGAGAATGAGAAGAAGAAGAAGTGAAAATTTCACGGTTTTCTTATTTCAATTTTCTGATGAATCTTAATTCTTCATTCAATGACTGAATAAGCTGATGGAAAGTTCTACGACAATAAAACATCCGTGGAAATTCCCTTACCACATCGTTAAATATTTGAACTTAAAAACTTTAACAAAATATTGCAATAACAATCATAAAAGATTTGAAATTCCATTTCACTGAAGCAGAGGTTGAAACCAAGAAGCGTTTTATATGTCCTCTCACGCGATCAAAACGGAATACTCCATTATTTATGAGGTATTAGCAGGAGACGTTAGACACTTCATTTCTTTCTTCCATCGTTTCCTTCTTTCTATATTTTTTCTTTCTTTCTTTCTTTCTTTTTCTTTCTTTCTTTTTTCTTTCTTTTTTCACCGAAACAAAGTAATGTCTCTAATATGTCTTGTCTTCTCACTCGATCAAAACCGAATACTGCATTATTTATGTGGTACTGACAAGGCAGAACGATCTTATGAAGGCAGGTAGAAGCACAATTATTATATGATAATAATAATAAAAACAATTTGTAATGAGAACAGAAAAAGAACGGAACTGGATTGGTTGCTGATAGCGTTCTATTGTTCTTTTCATTTAGATGAGCTGTCTTATGCAGCGCGTTTTGCTTATTTGGTGGCAATCCTGCTCACCTGTTTGTTATGGTTTTCGCAATTCTCAACATCACTCGACATGGTGGGACGCTGACCTATGTCTTCGAGTGATATCAGGCACAATGACGTGTAATCCGGTTTTGGTACCATCGATTTCTTTCAACTGTAGAATGAGATATCAGTAGGAAATAAAGCAACAACAATAGACAGGGGGCGCCTCGGGTTTGAGCAATGGTCAACGAGCTAAACTGGTTGACAATGGCAACTGGGTATTGAGTTCGAAACTCTCCGAGTTCTCATTCGGAGCCGCTATACATTGAACTAGCCGCACATCCACGAATAGAATGGGAAAAAGAAAAAACAACGTCATTTTCTTAAATCTCCAAAAACGAGGAAATAGATTAAGAAAAGGGAGGAGGCAAAAATGGTAATGAAAAAATAATGAGATGAATCGCTTTTAAAAAAAAGATAATATTCGGCGTTCATTGACCGATAAAATGATAAATTATTAAATGATTAGCGGTTTCCATACAGGAATCATCCGATATTCCTCAACAGAAGAATTGGTTATGGCGAGATTACCCATTTCCATACAGGAATCATCCGATATTCCTCAACCGAAGAATTGTTTATGGCGAGATTACCCATTTCCATACAGGAATCATCCGATATTCCTCAACCGAAGAATTGGTTATGGCGAGATTACCCATTTCCATACAGGATTCATCCGATATTCCTCAACAGAAGAATTGGTTATGGCGAGATTACCCATTTCCATACAGGAATCATCCGATATTCCTCAACAGAATTGGTTATGGCGAGATTACCAATTTTCATACAGGAATCATCCGATATTCCTCAACAGAAGAAGTGGTTATGGCGAGATTACCCATTTCCATGCAGGAATCATCCGATATTCCTCAACAGAAGAATTGGTTATGGCGAGATTACCCATTTCCATACAGGATTCATCCGATATTCCTCAACAGAAGAATTGGTTATGGCGAGATTACCCATTTCCATACAGGAATCATCCGATATTCCTCAACAGAAGAATTGGTTATGGCGATATTACCCATTTCCATACAGGAATCATCCGATATTCCTCAACAGAAGAATTGGTTATGGCGAGATTACCCATTTCCATGCAGGAATCATCCGATATTCCTCAACAGAAAAATTGGTTATGGCGATACTACCCATTTCCATACAGGAGTCATCCGATATTCCTCAACCGAAGAATTGTTTATGGCGAGATTACCCATTTCCATACAGGAATCATCCGATATTCCTCAACCGAAGAATTGGTTATGGCGAGATTACCCATTTCCATACAGGATTCATCCGATATTCCTCAACAGAAGAATTGGTTATGGCGAGATTACCCATTTCCATACAGGAATCATCCGATATTCCTCAACAGAAGAATTGGTTATGGCGAGATTACCCATTTCCATACAGGAATCATCCGATATTCCTCAACAGAAGAATTGGTTATGGCGAGATTACCCATTTCCATACAGGAATCATCCGATATTCCTCAACAGAAGAATTGGTTATGGCGAGATTACCCATTTCCATACAGGAATCATCCGATATTCCTCAACAGAAGAATTGGTTATGGCGAGATTACCCATTTCCATGCAGGAATCATCCGATATTCCTCAACAGAAGAATTGGTTATGGCGATATTACCTATTTCCATACAGGAATCATCCGATATTCCTCAACAGAAGAATTGGTTATGGCGAGATTACCCATTTCCATGCAGGAATCATCCGATATTCCTCAACAGAAGAATTGGTTATAGCGATACTACCCATTTCCATACAGGAGTCATCCGATATTCCTCAACAGAAGAATTGGTTATGGCGAGATTACAGGAATCATCCGATTTCCTCAACAGAAGAATTGGTTATGGCAGATTACAGGAATCATCCGATATTCCTCAACAGAAAATTGGTTATGGCGATACTACCCATTTCCATACAGGATTCATCCGATATTCCTCAACAGAAGAATTTTATGGCATTACCCATTTCAGGGAATCATCCGATATTCCTCAACAGAAAAATTGGTTATGGCGAGATTACCCATTTCCATACAGGAATCATCCGATATTCCTCAACAGAAGAATTGGTTATGGCCCCATTTCATACAGGAATCATCCGATATTCCTCAACAGAAGAATTGGTTATGGCGAGATTACCCATTTCCATACAGGAATCATCCGATATTCCTCAACAGAAGAATTGGTTATGGCGAGATTACCCATTTCCATACAGGAATCATCCGATATTCCTCAACAGAAGAATTGGTTATGGCGATATTACCCATTTCCATACAGGAATCATCCGATATTCCTCAACAGAAGAATTGGTTATGGCGAGATTACCCATTTCCATACAGGAATCATCCGATATTCCTCAACAGAAGAATTGGTTATGGCGATATTACCCAGATTACAGGAATCATCCGATATTCCTCAACAGAAGAATTGGTTATGGCGAATTACATTTCCGAATCATCCGATATTCCTCAACAGAAGAATTGGTTATGGCGAGATTACCCATTTCCATACAGGAATCATCCGATATTCCTCAACAGAAGAATTGGTTATGGCGATATTACCCATTTCCATACAGGATTCATCCGATATTCCTCAACAGAAGAATTGGTTATGGCGAGATTACCCATTTCCATACAGGAATCATCCGAAATTCCTCAGCAGAAGAATTGGTTATGGCGAGATTACCCATTTCCATGCAGGAATCATCCGAAATTCCTCAACAGAAGAATTGGTTATGGCGATATTACCCATTTCCGTACAGGAGTCATTCGATATTCCTCAACAGAAGAATTGGTTATGGCGAGATTACCCATTTCCATACAGGAATCATCCGAAATTCCTCAACAGAAGAATTGGTTATGGCGAGATTACCCATTTCCATGCAGGAATCATCCGAAATTCCTCAACAGAAGAATTGGTTATGGCGATATTACCCATTTCCATACAGGAGTCATTCGATATTCCTCAACAGAAGAATTGGTTATGGCGAGATTACCCATTTCCATACAGGAATCATCCGATATTCCTCAACCGAAGAATTGGTTATGGCGAGATTACCCATTTCCATACAGGAATCATCCGATATTCCTCAACCGAAGAATTGGTTATGGTGTGAATGGCAGTTTTATAAAATCTTTCTCTAAACAGTCTTTTAGGAAAATAGGTTTCTAAGTTCCACTGTTATTCCCCTTTCTAATACTGAGGGGAGTTTCCTCCCTTAAAGTTTATTTAAGCTAGTGAAGAATGTCAACATCATGACTATGTTATGATTTTCTTTTCTAGTTACATGCGCTATCCGTTTTAGTTGTTACTGCTGTTGAATATCTTTAAGTGATGTGGTTGTTGTTATTTGGTAAAGTTATTTGTTAGTGAATCTGTAGCTTCAATCTGTGCGATCTGATAAAGGAAAGTATTCTTGTAACCTATAGGGGCATTCGCTTGAAATCACTTTTAATCATTGACATAAGAAAACAAGAGACCTATTTCAACCCCTCCCAATGTTATTTGAGCGTAAGTGGATGCAGTGAATTTGACTGGAATTCGAAATCGGTAGCCAGTCTAAAATATGGAGTCTAGCAACTATATCCCCTATAAACCACAGCGGCAATGGCTAGCATGGATCGTTAGTAGGTTAATGCTTATATTAAGTCTGTTAGCGAAGAGATTTCGCCATTAATCGCATTAATATTGCTAATTGATTCAATGTATGATTATCTCTTTATAATATAAAATATATGCTGCCTAATATAATACGTTTACATATATATATATATATATATATATATATATATATATAGAGTCATCCACAGAAATCATCTCCCCACAGTGCTCGACCGATTTAATTATTTTATCGGGTGCTCATATCGTCATCCACAGACAGACTGTTTCGATGTATCACAGCTCCTCAATGTGGCTAGACATCCGATCGCTTCAAGCCGGGATCGAAACCCGACTGATGCCAAATCGGATTCTAAGCCCAACTATCGACGCTCGGCAGAGAGAAAGGCGAATTTTTACGTATTTATGTTTTCATAAATATTCCTAAGAAGCAAGGTACACATTGTTCACCATATAAAAGTTATTATGTACAAGGTTTTTCGAGTCCACTTTTATGTCTCGTTCTAGTATTTCTTTTTAATCATTTCACTCCAGACAAGGCGGGAATATCACTAGTACACGGGGGAGGTGGTTACAGAGAGTAGAAATGAGAAAAAAGACAGTATAGATTGAAGACAAAAGATGAGTGTGATCTAAGAAGAGAGAAGATGGCGATTGACGTTGCATTTATTTTTTTGAAGATTGTAGATATCAGGAAAGCAAGTAAACGGAAGGGCGTTCCACAGACGAGAAGTTCGAGAAAAGAAACTGTTGGAGTAGAAGTGGCGGTTGCATTTAGCTATTTCAACAGTAAAAGGGTGGGTCCTAGAAGCCAGTCTAGTAGCATGATTAAGTTCATGTAGTTAGTCGTGTACCAAGGAAAAAAGTTCCTCAGTGCAAGTTGCTATGAAAATATTTGTAGAAAAGGCAGAGGGAAGCCACGTCCCGCCGGTAGGAAAGTGATGCCAAATCAGGATCGATTACATAACAAAATCTACTTTAAATATTGATGGGAGTTTTTGTACTAACATTTCGATTAAATTTGTTTGGAAAATTAGCATTTTAAACATGTCACTTCTTTCTTTACGTCTGCTATCCATTTTAATCGTTGCCGTAGTTGGAAGTCTTCAAGTCAGGTGACTTTTTGCTATTTGTCAACGCTTTTATTTCGTGCTTCTGTAACGCTAGTCTATGAGATTTAATAAATAAATGTTTTCTTTAAGACCTGCAGGGTTCATTCTCTTGAAGCCATTTTGAATCATTGATTCAAAATGGCTTCAAGCCATTTTTTGTCAAAAAAGGTTGTATATAGCTGATATTATAGACATTTCTTAACGAGTTAGATGCCATGCATGACATCCATGAGACATTCTTCATCAAACAAAACTACTGAACCACGACTCAAGTTCTGGGGTTAATGTTCTGGTTTGTGTCATTTTATTCACTATTCAAAGGTGAGTCAGTGGTTACCAAAGTAGCTTAGAAGATCATTACTATTGCAGCCAAGTCGGTCGTTACTGAGTGCTCCACATTTGTAGCCGTAGGCCAGACTACATTATTTAGAAATAAAAGAAAGCCTAAGAAAGAAAGTGAGAAATGTATGGCTTATGAAAAATAAAGGAAATTAAAGAACGAAGGAAACATGTAAAACATAAGGTGAATACTGACTATTGAAAAAGACAGAGATGAACGAAAGAAAGAAAGAAAAAAGAAAGAAAAGGAACATTTCAGAATAGATAATAAAGAAAGAAAGAAAGAAAGAAAGAAAGAAAGAAAAGGAACTTAAGAATAGATAAGAAAGAAAGAAAAAAGAAGAAGAGTTAAGCAAAGAGAAGAAAAAAAGAAAGAAAGAAAGAAAGAAAAAATAAATTGAGTTCTTTAGTATTCTTTTTTTCTGTGTGCCTTGTCCTTTCAGGACTTAGGCGATCATGGCTCTCCTCTTCCCACTATCCCTTGCAACTCTCAACAAGATATTTCACTCTGCCATCTCCCCAGACCACGTTCTGTCATCCAGAAGCCCTCCCCCCAGATATGTCACGCGTTGTTTTCCCTTGTCTCTCTTTCCCTCTATTCGAGCCGTGAGTATCAGATTCTCCAGGCTCTCCTTTCTCATTTTGTGTCCCAGGAACTTCAGCTACCTCTTCCTGATATTAAGTATAAGCCTCCTCCTTGTTTGCAACCTCTCTAAGATCTCATCGTTGCTCAAACGCTAGGTCCATGATATCCTTAGCATCCTCCTTTAGAACCACATCTCTGTCGCCTTGAGTCTCTTCTTCATCTTTGAGGATATCGTCCAACATTCGCTGCCTTATAGAAGGACAGATGTCACGCAACAAGCCTTTGGAATGCGTCTTTGGCCATCCCAATACGTTTACAAATCTCAGTGTCGATTTAGTATTACTGTTCAGTTATTTACAAATATGTTTTCAAGTGACTATGTGTAATGAACCTTTCATATTTACCATTTTGAAGAAAATGGGGTTCAGTTCTGGATATTATTTTAGTGCGAATTATTGTTGTTTCTTTTCTTTCTTGGGTTTGAAAATATTTTTACAGACTTTTTTTATGCCTACATTTCTTTTTGCTTAAAACGAAAAATAACATTTGATGATGTTTTTTTTTGTGAGATATGTTTGTCGACAGAAATATTCACCAGGCCAGTAAATAAGATTAATTGCATATTTGGACAATTTACAGGAGCGCAAAGGCGAAAGGAGGGAGAAGGAAAAAAAAAAAAAATGAAAATAAAGAAAAATAAAAAATAAATTAAATCTAATTTAAGAAATTAAATGTTAATATGAAAAAATTAAATTTTTTCTTTTCTATTGCTTTATATTTCATATTTTACATATATTTTTCTTTATTTTCTTTCATTCTTCCTTCTCTTTTATTAACGGTTCATTTCTTTCTTTCTTTCTTCTCTTTTCTTAACTGCCCATTTGTTTGTTTCTTTCTTACTTTCTTTTTTGCTTCTCTGACTTTTTCAATTTTTCCTTTCTTCTTTATTCCCTTTCTTTTTATCATGCCATAATTTTCTTTCTTTCTTTCTTTCTTTCTTTTTTCTTTCTTTCTTTCTTTTTCATTTTTCTTTCTTATTTTCTTTATTTCTTTCTTATCTATTCACAACCGTTCCTTTTCTTTCTTTCTTTCTTTCTTCTCTGACTTTTCAATGGTCAATATTTACCTTGCGTCTTTAATTTTTCCTTGTTTTTATCGTTTCTTTCTTTTTTGTTCTTTCTTTCTTTTTTGTTCTTTCTTTCTTTCTTTCTTTCTTTCTTTCTTTCTTTTCTTTCTTTTTTGTCTTAAGTGTCTTCTTTCTTTACTTCTTTTTCTTTAAAAGTGAGTCTTTCTTTTTCCATCATGTTTTCTTACTTTCTCACAGACGCGCCATCGCCTCTCTGTCTTTTTTACAAATACTTTCATGGCAATTGCTCCGAGGAGCTGCATTCGCTGGTTCCCAGACTTCATAAGTTCAAGCGCCCTACAAGGCTGGCATCCCGCTCTCACCCCTTCACTGTCGAAACTCCTAAATGTAGCCGTCTCTTCTACTCTAATAGCTTCATGTCCCGCACCTCTCGCCTGTGGAACTCCCTTCCCTATTCCAGTTTCCCTGAGAGCTATAATCTCCAGCTATTCAAATATAATGTCAATCGACATCTCCAGTTGCCTTGATCTATCCAGTACCCTTCTCCTCATCCTTTCTTCTATCATTCCTATCTGATCTTCTGTAACCCCTTGCGTCCTAGTGGCTTCTCGCCTTGCTTGGGGTGAAACGCTTAAAAAAAAAAAAAATAAAACTTCATATTTCCTTTCTGACCTTTCATTAAAAAAAAACTCTTCACAGCTTTTCCTTCTCTTTCCCTGGCTATTTTCCTTCTCTCTTTCTTTGTTTGTCATTCCTTCTCTCTTTCTTTGCATTACCCAGAATTCCTTTTCGCTATACCTTTTCTCTCAGGTGTTCAACTGAACTAGATTCTTTTATTTGTGCGCTTGAAAAGAACGTAACACTTTTGTATGTCAGCGATGCCGCTTAAACACGTGTATAAACAAGTGCGGATTTGAATGTGCGGGTGTGTTAGAGAGGCACACAAAAAAGTTTGTGAGAGAGTGTAAAGAAAGAGAGAGAGAGAGAGAGGAGAAGAGAGAGAGAGCATCTCTGCGTCTGTTTGCGTAACTCGGATATGAATACACATTGATTGTATGTACAGGGTGCGATGGATAAACTGTCGTCTAAAATAAGTAAAAATAAAAAATAGCACTGACATCTCAGTTTTAACAGATATATTTACCAAAATTATAGAAAAACATACAATTTATCCATCGCACCCTGTACTTTTCTCTATAATTACACAATTCGATATCTGTCTGTTTATCGTTCAATTTTCTTTTTTCTTCTGTCTTCGTCAATAATCAGCATTCACTTGATGCTTTTTTGTTTTCCTTCTTTCATTCCTTTCCATTTTATCATGCCACACTTTTTCTTTCTTTCTTTCTTTCTTTCTTTCTTCTCTATTTCGATAATCAGTATTCCCCTTGCCTCTTTCATTTCTTCTTTCTTTCTTTCTTTCTTTCTTTCTTTCTTTCTCCTCCGACTATTTCAATAATCAGCATTCATCTTGCCTCTTTCATCTCTCCTTCTTTTTATCATTTCTTTCCTTCTTTCTTTCTTCTCTATTTCGATAATCAGTATTCCCCTTGCCTCTTTCATCCCTTCTTTCTTTCTTTCTTTCTTTCTTTCTTTCTTTCTTTCTTTCTTTCTTCTCTATTTCAATAATCAGTATTCATCTTGCCTTTTTCTTCTCTCCTTCTTTTTATCATTTCTTTCTTTCTTTTTTCTTTCTTTATTTCTTTCTTTCTTTCTTTCTTTCTTTCTTTCTTTCTTTCTTTCTTTCTTTTTTTCTCCTCCGACTATTTCAATAATCAGTATTCATCTTGCCTCTTTCATCTCTCCTTCATTTATCATTTCTGTCTTTCTTTCTGTCTTTCTTTCTTTCTTTCTTTCTTTCTTTCTTTCTTTCTTTCTTTCTTCAAAAGTATTCGCGTTACTCTGAGCTGTTCTACCACCCCATAGATTGAATTGATGGGACCGTCATTCTGCTTCGATACGATTTCTGTCACAGTGTTATTTGTTTTCAATGTCTTAATTGAAAAAAACAAAAACAACACAGATCTAAATCTGTAACCAAATTGATACTATACATGGGATACTAGCTTTACCAATAAGACTACAAACACCAACCAGTTGACCGTCTTGTTTAAAGTATTGTAACGTATGACATGTCCAAATAACAACAGCTTTCTCCTCTTCATTGTTGATAAGAGGGACTTTTGTGGGTCTGACAGTTGTGCTATTTAACCCAAAATTTAAATTTAAATTTATTTGTCTTGTGTTCACTCCAGGAGATACCGAGAAGGCGTCTGGAGTATTTCGTTTAAAAAATTTGGATTCTTTTTTAGTGGTTTCTGCTATAAGAGTCCAGCTTTCATATCAATAGAGCAGTATAGACAGCATCAAGGACTTGTAGAGCTTCCATCTTGGTTGGAAAGCTGATGTTTTTCCTCTTCCATTTTGCCATTGCCGATGCTGCCATAGCTAATCTGGTCTTGATCATTGTTGTAGAGCTTCCATCTTGGTTGGAAAGCTGATGTTTTCCTCTTCCATTTTGCCATTGCCGATGCTGCCATAGCTACTCTGGTCTTGATCATTGTTGTAGAGCTTCCATCTTGGTTGGAAAGCTGATGTTTTTCCTCTTCCATTTTGCCATTGCCGATGCTGCCATAGCTACTCTGGTCTTGATCATTGTTGTAGAGCTTCCATCTTGGTTGGAAAGCTGATGTTTTTCCTCTTCCATTTTGCCATTGCCGATGCTGCCATAGCTACTCTGGTCTTGATCATTGTTGTAGAGCTTCCATCTTGGTTGGAAAGCTGATGTTTTTCCTCTTCCATTTTGCCATTGCCGATGCTGCCATAGCCACTCTGGTCTTGATCATTGTTGTAGAGCTTCCATCTTGGTTGGAAAGCTGATGTTTTTCCCTCTTCCATTTTGCCATTGCCGATGCTGCCATAGCTACTCTGGTCTTGATCATTGTTGTAGAGCTTCCATCTTGGTTGGAATGCTGATGTTTTTCCTCTTCCATTTTGCCATTGCCGATGCTGCCATAGCCACTCTGGTCTTGATCATTGTTGTAGAGCTTCCATCTTGGTTGAAAGCTGATGTTTTTCCTCTTCCATTTTGCCATTGCCGATGCTGCCATAGCCACTCTGGTCTTGATCATTGTTGTAGAGCTTCCATCTTGGTTGGAAAGCTGATGTTTTTCCTCTTCCATTTTGCCATTGCCGATGCTGCCATAGCCACTCTGGTCTTGATCATTGTTGTAGAGCTTCCATCTTGGTTGGAAAGCTGATGTTTTTCCTCTTCCATTTTGCCATTGCCGATGCTGCCATAGCTACTCTGGTCTTGATCATTGTTGTAGAGCTTCCATCTTGGTTGGAAAGCTGATGTTTTTCCTCTTCCATTTTGCCATTGCCGATGCTGCCATAGCTACTCTGGTCTTGATCATTTTTGTAGAGCTTCCATCTTGGTTGGAAAGCTGATGTTTTTCCTCTTCCATTTTGCCATTGCCGATGCTGCCATAGCCACTCTGGTCTTGATCATTGTTGTAGAGCTTCCATCTTGGTTGGAAAGCTGATGTTTTTCCTCTTCCATTTTGCCATTGCCGATGCTGCCATAGCTACTCTGGTCTTGATCATTGTTGTAGAGATTCCATCTTGGTTGGAAAGCTGATGTTTTTCCTCTTCCATTTTGCCATTGCCGATGCTGCCATAGCCACTCTGGTCTTGATCATTGTTGTAGAGCTTCCATCTTGGTTGGAAAGCTGATGTTTTTCCTCTTCCATTTTGCCATTGCCGATGCTGCCATAGCCACTCTAGTCTTGATCATTGTTGTAGAGCGTCCATCTTTGGTGAGGGTAACTCCAAGGTATTTAAAGGTGTCCACTTCTTTTAGTTGTTCTTTGTTCATGAATACCTGGCTCCTGATGTTGGTTGTGCTGTTGATCAGGACTCTACTCTTATCAGTGCTCAATTCCATTCTATAGGCTCCTATTCTGTCCGTCAATATGTTGGTGAGACCCTGCAATTTGGAGCTGCTGTTGCCCAACAAGTCAAACTCATTAGCGAAGCGTAAGTTGTTAACAGTTCTCCTTCCTATAGATATAGTGAACTAAAATCCTTGAAGGGTTTCTCGCATGGTATTCTCAAGAAAGAGCTTGAATAACATTTGGAAAAAGCAAACAACCCTGACGGACGCCAACTGTGGTCTTGAAATAGCCATCCATCTAACTGTTGGGAAGGACCGCACTTCTGGAGGTCGATGGTTTGATTGAGGCCCTCCTCTGTGCCGAAATTCCCCAGGACCTGCTATAAACCATCATGCCACACACTATCGAAGACCTTCCTGAAATCTATAAAGTTATGGAACATATCCCTCTGATGTTGCAGATGTTTCTCCATCAGAATGCAGCAATTGAAGATCTGCTTTCCAGTACTTCTGCCGGCCCTAAATCCAGCTTGTTCTTCCGCTAGATGTTATTCAGCTTATTTCTTTTAAAAATGACTCGTAGCATGATTTACTGGTGTGGCTAATGATGGTCCTGTAGTTCTGGCACCGGCGGAAGTTTCCTTTTTTGGGCATGGGGACGATCATTGATTGAGGCCATTCTATGGGCCACTGTTTTGTCTCCTAGATGTTCTGGTAGATCGATGTCATTACAGTGACCAATTCATTCCTTACATGCTTAAGCTTCTGACGACTTCGCTGTTGGTAAGCTGCGTAAGGCATTTTCCACCTTTTCCCTCAACACTGGAAATGGTGAAAGTGTCCTCGTTGATATTGAGCCCCCAACAATGAAACTGGTGTCGGGCTGTATGGGATGGTTGTATAGGTCTCGACAGTATTGTGTCCATCTGTTCAGAACTGCGGGGTTTTCGGTTAGAAGTTCACCTGAGCGATCCTCGATGTCTGTGAATCTGCCCCGCTGTGACTTCCTAAGTTTCCTAAGTTTCTTCAAGGTGTCATACGCTCGATTACTCTTTCCTTTTTTCTTTCCTTTCTCGATGTTTTATTCTGCTGGTTGACCCAACATTCCTATCACACTAATTCTCTAAGATTTCAAGTTCAAATCAACCCAAACTTGCTTTTAGAATTTTGATCCATGCTATTTTAAACAATTAAACATAAAACTCGTGCAGCATTGTGATAAAAAGAACCAATAATAAGATGATAGATAAACTAGACAAATATAAATAATTGTGGACGTTCACTACATTTCTTTCTTTTTTTTTTTAAATATTAGGTTGGTGCAAAAATAATGTCGTTTTTGGACGTTCAACTTAACGTCAAAAAAACGACATTATTTTTGCACCAACCTAATAGAACTAACGAGAAAATTTGCCATTTACATTATTTATATTCGAACTATTGACCTCATCTTTGTTGCTGTCATCACAACGTTGAAATGTTATGCCTCCCGGCCTTCATTTATATTAATCCGTGTAACAATATAAACAAGAATTCATGGAACTATTTTTGATTTTGTTAAAACATTTTAGGTAAAGGCATGAGCTATTCTTTTACTTTATTCTTTTCTTCTTCATTTTTTTTAGGTCTTCTTATAGTTTGAAAAAACTTATTTCGAGTCAAGTCAGATCAGAGCAAAAGTTCAAAAGCGTCTCTGCATCCTTATAGGAGGATGAACTATTTTCTACCCTACAATCTTTTTCGAACAAACGAAATGTCAAATGCTTCTCGATACTTTATCTAAGGTAAATATTCAGACGCGATTCATTCATTAGTTCCACCAATTTATACATTTACAGCTAAAACCGGCCGTGCCACGCACTCTCAGGTGAATCATCCCCATCCACTCTGTATTCCATTAGTAAAAAGGAAGGCAAGGAATTCCGATCTGAACCATTTATCTAACCCACGGGGATACACTGTTCTCGTTCAACTCCCCATGTCTAGGCATATCTCATCCAGTTCTTATTTTAGCACTGCTCTGTTATTAGTGGTTCTGTTTCCACTGAGTCCAAGTACACACTGCCCAGCCAAGGGATTGAACTCACAAATAATGTCATCAAATTCGCATACTAACGCATTAATCTACTATTTATAATATCATAAGAACTTAAATTGTGGAGAGTTCCTTTATTAAATATATAATAGAAATTATAAATTATATTGAACAAAAATTGCCTGAATGAACATTCGCTACCTAAATACTCCCCAAAGTATATATATATATATATATATATATATGTATGTATCAAATATGTGGTGCAGTTCAAGTTATATAACAATGAATCATTCATACAAAAAGTAGATTAGTAAAGTTAATGATATAATATGGTGAAATCCCTCCCCCCCGCAAAAAAAAAAAAAATTTAAACGTGTATTAACCTACAAATCGCTTGATGAATGTTATGATCTGTGTTTTTAAAAATTATAAGCTGTATAAGGAAAACCTTATACAGCTTATAATTTTTAAAAACAAGGATCATTAAGTGAAATTAAGACGGAAGAAATACTAGTAAAAAATTAATAATGTTTTACAATCATTCATTAAATAATAATGATAATAATAATAATGATGATAATAATAATAATAATAATACCAATGTAATAAGAAGTAAGTGAAATTAAGAATGAAGAAATACTAGTAAAAAAATAATTGTTTCACAATCATTCATCTAATAATAATAATAGTAATAATGATGATGATAATAATAATAATAATAATAATAAAAATAATAATGCCAGTGTAATAAAAAGCAAGTGAAATCAAGACGGAAGAAATACTAGTAAAAAATTAATAATGTTTTACAATCATTCATCTAATAATAATAATAATAATAATAATAATAATAATAATAATTAATACTACCAATGTAATAAAAAGCAAGCGAAATTAAGACCAAATAAATACTCGTCAAAAATGAATAGTTGTTGACAATGATTCCTCGAATAATTATAAAATTTAAGATGCTATTAATATTAGATTGTCACACATGAAATGACGGAAACTCTTCTGAAATGTTAAATAACTAATTTATTTAGTTGAAATAAGCACCAAGTTGATGAAAAACTCCAACATACCTCTAAATTCTTAAACCCATCTTTAAAAAAAATTATCATACTTTGATGTGTTATGCAGTTTAAATACTTCGATCACCTCTTCCTTATTGGAGAAGGTTTTATTGCGTATGAAAAGCTCAAAATGCTTAAATAATTGATAATCAGTAGGAGAGATATCAAGTGAATATGGTGGATGAGGTAATATTTCCTAATTCTGGCTTTGCTGCTTTTGGGTAGTTGATTCAGAAGCAGGCAGCCGTGCGTTGTCTTGCAGCAAAATACGTCCATCCCTATCCACAAGTCTTCTTTTACAATTTTTCGTGCATACACTCAATTTTTCCACAATATGAAGTTGCAGTTCCCTTGAGGCAAGAATGACTAATGAATAACCCCACCCTTTGAAGGTTTCGGGCATTGTTTTGGTGTTTCACTTGCACCTAACCACTGGCCTACTGTTGTCAAAGAGTTATCCATTTCTCATCTAATGTAATGAGTCGATGCAAAAATGGTGAGGACAAGAACACTCCCCTCCTTTTTAAGTAACTGAGTCAACAGTCGAGAAATAATTGCGATATTCATTGTCAGTCAAATACAAAGTCCATTTGAAAAGTTGTCAGCCGAACCTACTTTCCAAAATATGACTTCTAGGTAACAAATAAAATTGGTGAAATTGTAATAAAGGGGGTGAGGTGTGAGTTTATCATAGGGTGGTTAGAAAACATTTTTGTAATTTTCTATTGTTCATCTAATACAAAGCCCAAGAACTCATTAAGGTAGAAGGTTAGTGAATAGGTTTTTAGTATTAACGTAAGAGGTCGAGATGAGAAGAGAATATGAGGATTTACAGGAAAGGTATTGGTTGAGACTAGATTAGAAGAAGTTAAGATTATTGAGAGAGTCTGTTGCACAAAGTAGAGGTTTTTGAGAAAAATCTGTCCGAATGAAACTTCCTTCTTATTAATGGAATACAGTGTGGATGGGGATGATTCACCTGAGAGTGCGTGGCACCGCCGGGGTTAGCTGTAAATGTATAAATTGGTGGAACTAATGAATGAATCGCGCCTGAATATTTACCTTAGAAATATCGATAGAAAAGCGACAGGCTTTTGATATTTCGCTTGTTCGAAAAAGATTGTAGGGTGGAAAATAGTTCATCCTCCTGTGGCACCTTGCATTATTAGAAATATTCATAGAAATATGATTTAATTTTTTTTTTTACTCGGTTTACTAAACAGGTTGTTGATTTTTTTTTTAACGGAAAATAATTGAGTTGAAAATAATTCACTAAGATTGTACTTAGACGATCCTAAAAGAAAAAGAAAAGAAAGAGGAAGAAAAAGAAAAAAAAAAGAAAGAAAGAGAGTTGGATGATGCATGACCCAGTCATAAGCGAAGATAAGTGTCAGAAAGATATCTTGGCCTGCGTGTGGCCGAATTTTAAAGGACAATAGAGAATTGTTATTTGAAATGAAAAATCATTAAGAGGGAGAAAAAGAACCAGGCTTGATGACAGTGTTTTGGCAATTGATAAGAAAATCGGTCAAAGCACCTAGCCTACTTTTTGCGTGGAAAGACTCATTGTCAAATTGGAGAAAGGGAAATTCTTTTTTAGAACAATAGAAACGAAATTTTTTTTAATCGGAGAAAAAAGTGCCTTTTGGGTTGAGGGGAGTGACCGGTGGAACTATATACAGATTCTGACCTATTAAGAATTGGAAACCCATGATAACAAAGTGGGGACATTTTCAATGTAGATAATTAAGATTTTCTGACTGTCGGGTCTGACAAAAACAAGAGGTGAAAAAAACGATTGTCTCAGTTCACAGATAGCGCCAATATTCTTCCCTGAAGTCACATCTAATTAGCGGCGGGCTGTTTTGACAGAGCCCAGGTGAGAAAAAAGCCAAGATTGTCATTTTTTCGTACGTGCAAAAAAAAAAGGCAAAATTAGATTTTGTTTTTTTTAAAACAAGAACGATGTAAACCACGCCCAACCACAATCTCATTAGCCGAAAGCGGTCATGTGATATGCGGAAAGAAGAGAAAGGATGCTCGATCAAGAACCATTGGTCGGAAACGGTCACGTGATCTGCGGAAAAGAAGAGAAAGAAGTGCTCGATCAGGAATCATTGGTCGAGAGCGGTCACCTGACATACGAGGGACCGGGAAAGATGGGTGTGCGCCTCCCCACCAAGGGCACTGTGAGGAAGTAGGGGTGAAAACAATAGCGATAATGAGAAGACAGAAATAATGCGACTTTTGGAGTTATCGAGAAAACCCTGACGCCGACAGACCCACCCCAGTTTGTTGCGGCGTCAATAAAAGCAGGACCCCAGTCGACAGAAATCAGTTGGAGTGGAGTTGCAGCTGGACCGCGGGCAGGGATAGAGCCTGAACGCGGGCATCAGGCCCGATTCACTCGCCCCTTTGCGGGCAAGAGAATCCTCAGACAAGAAATCCTTCCAGCCCAAATCGAAGAAGAAGAAGATTGCTCGCAAGCCTCAGAGAAGTTGCAGCCAAGTCGACGAAGAAGAAGATTACTCGAAAGCCGCAGAGAAGTTGCACCCAAGTCGAAGACAAGAGAACTTCCAGCCCAAGCAGACGAAGAAGAAGATTACTCGAGAGCCGCAGAGAAGTTGCAGCCAAGTCGAAGACAAGAGAAGTTGCAGCCAAGTCGAAGACAAGAGAAGTTGCAGCCAAGTCGAAGACCAGAGAAGTTCTATCTTAGTCGACGAAGAAGAAGAAATACAACTCAAGTCGAAGAGAAGAATCAACTGCGAATGATCGATAGAAATTAGCCCCAGTGTCGAACTAGACCACACTCCGACATACATAATTCTGAAGAGTAGACAACTCGAAATCTTTAAGTTGTATGATAGAGGCTTGGTGCCATAGTCCACAGAGCGGGTCGGGAAATAAGAACAATTTTTCTTTATGTAACGGACATTAGATATAAAAGGTTGTCACCCTTTTTATCAGTAATTTTTTGTCTCGTG